GGGGGGTCACACCGCTTTGTACAGAACCGAAAAATAATGTATGTATGCGTATTAACACGTACTATATGTAAGTTAGTCAAATAATAATATTTAAGAAAACATAAAATATAGATATGAAAAAAAGGAAAAAAAAGAAAAAAAAACTAAGCCGACGGCATAGCCGTCGGCATAGCTGCGGCCAGGGCAGATGGCCGGCGCGCCGCGGATCGGTGACGTGGCATCTATGCCGACGGCATAGGTGGTGGTCGGTGCGCTTAGGATCGATGACGTGGTAAACGCATCTATGCCGACGGCCTCCCGTCTCGGCCGTCGGCATAGATCAGACGCCGTTAGCCGCACGGCACGAGCGGGATCGCCGGGCCCGCAACTATGCCGACGGCCGCTGTAGGCGTAACTTGGGCTAAGCCGACGGCTCTTCTGGGCCGACGGGGGCCGTCGGCATAGCTCGGGATAGCCCGACGGCTTTATTACGCCGATGGCCTGGACATGGCCGTCGGCATAGCCTAGACTAGGCCGACGGGGGCCGTCGGCATATATATGGCCGTCGGCATCGGGCCCTGTTCCGGTAGTGAATGAACGGTTTAGTTGGTAAAATTTCTCACCTACGGATCGCCTGGTCTCCCCGCCGCCATCCAGCTGGACCTCGCCCCCTGCGCTCGCCACCGCGGAAGCGACGGTGGACCTCCAGACCCAGCCGCGGTGGCAAGGGAAGGGCCTGCACCTCCACGCGCTCGCTCGTCAGCGTCTACGCGTGGTCCGGACATCGAGGGCCGCCCCCGTCGAGGTGTTCTCGCCGCTGATGGGAGCTCCTGCTTCCGGTCTGCCCCAAGATCTCCGATGACCACGCCGGCCGCCCTGCCCTAGGTACGAACTCCTCTTCTTAAGTATTAGTACTAGTATTCCTTTGCTGTTGAGAATTGAGATTGATGTAGTAGTACTCTTTTGCTGTTGAGCATTACCACACCCGTGCCCGACCCGGCCAGGTGTCATCCAGAGCTGTGGATGGCAATGCCAACCCACGATACGGGCAAGGCAGAGTCGGCTTTGGTGGCCCATTTCCAAAAAAGCACCAACCCATCTGACCCATGAAACCTGTATTTTCGGCTTCAGTTTCTCGACCAGCCGGGCTGGGCCAGCCCATTCTCATCCCATCGTGAGGTTTCTTCGTCTCACCGGGCGTGATGCAGTTGATTTTAACAGCTTTTCGAAATTCTTCTAAAAAAACAGCTTTTCGAAATCATCCACAAGCATGCCACGCTAATTTGGGAATGGAATTTTCGACCAGTGAAATGCTAATCTCGTAGGAGTATTTGTTTACAGAGGGAGTAGATATATACGATGTGTGATTCCCTGATTTGAAATGGCGACAAGGCTGTTCATTGCACAAAATACTACTCCCTTCATCCCTTAATATAAAATGTTTTTGCAGTTCAAATTGAACTACAAAAACGTCTTATATTAAGGAATAGAGGCAGTAGTAGTACTACCTTTTTGCATTCTGTTTTTCTGCAGTATTCGAGCTGAACCTTTTTTTTATGAACTGCAGCTCCTATTACTTTGAGCAGATCATTGGCGCATGGCCATGGGCGCGGGGAGCAAGCAGCCAAGATCATTAGCCGTCTGCTGGTATGCGGCGAGGCACCGTTCCTTCACTCTGATAGTGTGGTGTCTAACGGCATTGATCGTGCTTGTTATTTTCTACCTCTTCATCAACCATAAGGAGGAACAGATTGTGAGAGGGATAGATGAGGTGGAGGAGGAAACTTTCCCGGTGAAGCTGGCCCGGAGCTGGAGGAATCCACCGGCTGTGCGGGGCAAGGGGGAGCACAGGACACTACCTGTGGTGGACGAGTTCTTGGTCGAGTCTTCTGCGGTGCATCATACGTTCTTCCAGAAAGGGAAGGTGGCCATGGATCCAGTCAACAGTGGGAATGACAGGAGGTACTTATACTACCCAGGGAGGGTTTGGCTTGACACTGATGGAAAGCCGATCCAAGCTCATGGTGGTGGTGTGATGTATGATGAGGAAACCAAGACCTACTTTTGGTATGGAGAGAATAAGGATGGCAAGACCTACAAAGCTCATGACAAGGGACCTGATCGGGTAAGTCACATTGTTCTGATGCTTTCAACATTCGCATCATTGGTGTGTTGGAGAACTTCCAGCATCAGGCACTGTAATTACACAAAAGTGCATCATTCCCTTGTCAGAATAAAATCTGTGTTGAAGAACTTCCAACATTGGACAGTTTATATTTAGACAAAGAACATTATTCCTTTGTCAGAATGTAATAGCTAAATTTAGAGTTCGGCAGAACATTTTTTTTAGCTATGCCTTCATTTTTAGCCATATAATTATATATGAACAGAACTGATTGAGCTGCTTCCACAAACCTTGCACATGAACCTTAACTACTGCAAGTAGGCTTCATAGTATATATAACTAGAATTAATAGAGCTGCTTTAACAAGCCTTGCACATGAACCTAACTAGTGCAAGTAGGCTTCATAATGTATTGAAATTGTATACAAAAAATGAGTAAAAACCATCAAAGGTCGTTTTGCGTCACTATAGTTGTCTACCTCTTGCTGCAACATTAAGGAATCATGTCGCGACGCTCGACTGAACTTGTCCTAATTGAAGTTCAATATATAAATTGTGGAGATGCGAACTACTCCACAATATCATCGACATATTTATCATATGATTATTGTTTGAGCACTTTTAGTCTGATGCCATTATTTTCCGTAAGAGTGATCTTTGTTCTTTACTATTCACTTTGTCTGAATATAATCTACGGTGTCCAGTTATTTCAGTTCAATGTCATCAGATTTAAGTTCTCATAGCTATAGGAAATCAAAATTCGGCCATATGCCAATGCCAGTGCTATTCCCAATGTTTTGGGCCTTAGTCATGGATAGTGACACAACATCTAATATTATCAGCTAATCAACTTCATGAGTGATATGGTACTACATTTCTAAAACACAGAGAAGGACCGATTCTGATGTGGCGTTATGCAAATTTCAGTTTAGTAGGATTCTGGATTGAGTTTTCATTGATAGATCATGGGAATCAACAAAGTTTAGTGTGTTCCCCAGTTGGCAAAATGCACTACTATGTGGACCTACCAAGTCATTTGCAATTTTCTTCTTATATACAACAATTATGTTCTGTAGAATTTCCCAATTTGTCATTCTAACCAAGACAAACTACTTTTCAGGTTGACATTGTTGGAGTAAGTTGCTATTCTTCAACGGACCTCTGGTCTTGGACAAATGAAGGAGTTGTGCTCCACGGAGAGGAAGAGAATTTATCGCATGACCTCCACAAATCCAATGTCCTGGAGAGGCCGAAGGTGATTTATAACAACCGGACCGGCAAATACGTGATGTGGATGCACATAGACGATGCCAACTACACGAAATCCTCAATCGGCGTGGCGACGAGTGCTTCTCCCACAGGACCATTCACTTACCTCTACAGCAAGCGCCCACACAACTGTGAAAGCAGAGACATGACCATTTTCAAGGATGACGACGGGAAGGCCTACCTGATATATTCATCCAAGGGCAACAGCGAGCTCCACATTGCGCGGTTAACCGACGACTACCTCAACGTGCCCAAGGACGTGCCAAGAATTCTCGTCGCACGATATCGAGAAGCCCCCGCACTCTTCAAGTTCGGCGGCACCTACTACATGATAACCTCGGGTTGCACGGGCTGGGCACCGAACACTGCAAACGCTCATGCGGCGGCATCGATTATGGGACCTTGGGAGACCCTGGGAAACCCTTTCCTCGGAGGGAATGAGATATACAGATCGACAACGTTCTTCTCCCAGGGTACATTTGTGTTGCCAGTTGCAGGATTGCCGGGTCTGTTCATCTTCATGGCCGACCGGTGGAAACCGTCAGATCTGAGAGATTCGAGGTACGTGTGGCTGCCTTTGAGGGTAGGTGGACTTCCCGATGAGGCGGCAGATTACAGCTTCATGTTCCCGCTCTGGTCCAGGGTGTCGATTTACTGGCACAAAGTGTGGCGCCTTCCTAAGCAAAGTTACCGAGCGACTTAGCCACGGATGCATATCTGCTCTCCATTGCAGATCAAATGCGCTATAAGATAAAATAAAGGCAAAGAAACGAGGTTGCATGTTTTCAGCTATCCAGCGACAGGAACTGTACTTTGCTGTTTTGAACAACCGACAAACAAATGGGATATAGCAGCGCGTACTGAACCGATTATATACACAAGGAAAATTTTAAAACAGACTATAAAAGACAAAAACTGAACCAGATTACACAAGGAATACATGAGAAAGTTCTGTCAAAAAACAAGGAAAAAAAAAGAGAAATCATGTAGCATAACATTGAAATTCGCTAGCACGTCTCTATCTCTACCTAATACTAGTAAGCTTGCACGTGCAACACACGTCTGAACTCCATCACATAATTATTAAAACAGTTGTATGGTTTTATATAGAATTTCATCTGCAAAATTTTCACTGAAAATAATATTTGTTTGGGTGGAAAAAAATCAAATCACATGGACAAATGAAGAAGGTGAAAATAATATTAAAGATCAATGGAAATCTCTACTGAACATTGGTAGTCTCATATGCTTCCCATTGAACATCATACATTCTGTGAATTACCACTGCCATAGGCAATCCACAATCCAGCTGTCTTGATTGTGAAGATCTGATATTGCTCAGTTCATTCTCATATACATCCTAATATACATATGCAAAATCACGAAGTAAAAGCAGAGAGAAAGATTATACCGAATCTGGCGACCCTAATCAGATAGAGACATGAGAGAACAACTAAAAAAGACAATGAAAGATTTTAATGAATAAAAACTTATGCTTACATATCAATCCATGAGAGATAACTATATTTTTGCAAACTTTCATTACAACATTGTCGAATGTGTGATCAACAAAGACAAACTACAGTAGGCTTGTATCATGCTTTATGATTTAACAGAGGCAGTCAACAGAGCCGAACTAATGGAGATAATTCATCTAGGTAGCTATAGGATGCATTATGATTTAATTCTCCCCCAAACATGCTTCCTATTAACTCTAAAATCTGATATTGTAATGACACAGTATTTGTCCTATCCGAATATTTTAGACAGAGGACCATCACATTCTGAAACTGCATACTCATGCTCAACTTTTTTCAGCACAAAGACTAAGTTGTATGTGTTGAAGTATCAATAGGATAAAGCATGTACCTGTACTAACCTTGACAACATCAATGGCCTTGTCATTCCTTCAGAACAACCATAATGAAACTATTCTTGTCTTCTCTTTCAAATTGAAAGAGATAATATACATGAACAAAGCTTATTTCTGAAGATACATTGTTGCTAACACCCAGAGAGGTTATGGTCCAGATTGAGTCGAGCTGCACTGGGTCGGTGGCTGGACAATGGTGGAGTTTCGGTTGCAGTGATGTGGCCATCGTGGTAGAGGCGAACCTCTGTGCTAAAATGCATTATAATGTCAGGTTAGAATCGAGGATTCTAGCAGATAAAGAAGGGATGGAGAGGGAGAGAGATGTCAGGTCGCTACCTTCTAGGTACCGATGGATGGAGCTGCCCGTTCCGAGGAGATAGGGTGGAGGAGGGCGGAGCTGGCAGCAAGGAGCACACGTCTGGCCTCGTTCGCCGGCTCTACACAGGAATGGTTACCTAGCAAGGTTCACAAAGAAAGAATATAGAGCAAGAACAAAATCTTCTACTTGCATAATGTAACACGAATCCTCTTTTATATGGATATATATAGAGCAACCTGCCACATCTTAATATTTTGACAGAGGCTCCAACTTTTTTAGTGGTATTCTCCTCAAAAATAACCTGCAAGTCAAACAACTGCTTATGCAAGTAGCATATACTCCCTATGTCTCATAATATAAGAGCGCTTTTAACACTACATTAGTGTCAAAAACGCTCTTATATTATGGGACAGAGGGAGTAGTTCCTTTCTTTCCAGAAGCTGGAATCACAATGTGCATCAGTTGGTACAATTCTCAATGATTACCTTGACAATGTTCATAAATGTTTGTATTGATGTTTCCATGACCGTTAGATATAAGTTAATTCAGATAAGCAATACCACCAACCTTTACCAAAATTCAGAGAAGCATGTATTGGATATTCATAGAATCATTTGTATAGTTGACTCATTGTATCTTTTCTCTCGGGTAGAACATCTTCCATGACCAAGCTTTAGCAATGCAAATAATAGAGCAATGCCACCATGCAAGAGAAACACACCTGAATGTTCAAATAAAATGAGGATTGCTCCTGTTGATGCATGATCATAATTACATTTGCATTGACATTAAAGTTGAGGAACAAATGCTATATTGTTGATCCAAGAGATGCTAGCTAAAAGTAAATATTTCGCAGTATTACACCTAAAGTTTAACGTGCAGATGCAAGAATCTCTATCTAATATTACCCTCCCCACATTAATGTGACAAGGTTGCCTTTTCCCATCTCTGTATATATTTTTTCATACAATCTAGCTTGCAAAACAGGTGCAAGGAACAGACTGTTTCTGTGCAATAATATTAGAAAACCTTAACCATGGCGGACATATATAAATATGTGATGAGCATCAAAATGGGAAGACAAAAAGGGTAGTAAATTTCATGGACAAATTAACCTTTCTTCCAGTCAGTGTTGAGACATGGTCCGGTTTTGCAAATTCTCCCAATAGAAAGTGAAAGTGAAGCAAACTACAATATATAGGGTCCACAAATCATGGCTTCTACTCCGATTGAAATATTAATTCAATTTTCCTTCATGTACATATATTACACCACATATATCAATGCCTAAAGGAACCACTTCACCTGAGTGAAGCTTCAATTTTAAAAAGTGAAGTTCTCAATGTCCTAGAAAAACAAATCTTATCAAACAAATCAAACAAGCTCAATGGGCTAAGAACAGAAGTCCTACAAATCAAAGACGCCAACCCTTAAAAACTCAATTGTACCAAACATCCAAAGAATTTGCTAGCTTAGCAGTCAAGACCAAGCTATCAACATTTAACTGCAGTTGGCAAACAATATAGACTATATATCTAGTTCACTAAAATGACCATGCATCCAGCGTTGTCAGTTATGATTAATGACCATTTACATCAAAATTTCATAATTCTCTGCCACACATATACACAATTAGAAGGATGAAAAAACTCAAAACAGAATATGAAGCATCTCTTGCATCAAATTGCAAGTAATTAAGCACTTTGGATGGACCCGGACGGCGGCGAGATCATTGCTCTGTCCATCTATGAACCAGACCTACGTACCTCAAGGGTCTCTCTTACTCTATCCATCTCAGAGCGGCTTTAGGCGGGCACTAACATTGATTATGTAATTTCCTCAAGATAAAAGAACATTATTCTGGAATTTAATATGTCATCACTTTTTTTGAGCTGTTAGAGCACCTGGGAGAAAAAGCTTTCAAAATGGTGGGCATTCAGTTGTAGTTCTTTTTCATGCAGATAGGCCTTCCAACTTTCCAAGAATCTTACTCTGGATTAATTACATAACATACAGAAGCAGAGTCATGTTGTTGGTCTATTGAGCATAAATTAAACTTTGTATAAAAGCAGGGCTGTTAAGCTATTATTCTCTACAAGATTACCTTCGTAGAACTATTACACACGATCGAATTTTACGCAGTAGAACAATGTCTAATTTCAAGCATATTGAAGTACAGTTATAGGTTTTCTTTTAGTGAACATAGTGACACCATTGTTTGGTTTCAAGCTTGGGAGTTACAGTGCATATAATCTCTCACCTGAGAAGCCATCGCCGAGAGGCCTACCCATTCACAGCTCAATTTTTGACAGATTCATGAATTGCTTAAATTTGTCAAATTTCCCAGTTAGGTCACCTGGGAGGCTGGGAATCCTGAAGGTTAAAGATTATTAAACCATGACAAGTCAAATAGCAGATAAATGGGAAATAAGAAAATATAGAAGTACATCAGCAGTGATTGCAGATTCTAGTATATCAAGAAAAATACGACGGTCATCAGGTCACAATACATCTAAGGTCATACAGTTTGAAGAATCTAACTGGGACTTGGAAGAATTCAGCAAACTATTATTATGAGCCAACAATTCCGTTTCAAAACATAATTGCTGAGATATATGATACTGGAAATTCCTTTCTTCAAATATCTTTCATTTTAAACTCAAAATATCTAGAAAATGAGAGCTTTGGCCTTCTTGTGATAACATGAAAGTAGCAGCTAGCAGCCATACTGCAACTCCATATTTTAGACGCTTTCAATGAATTCATAAGACATGCAAGGACCGCTCACAGTTTTGGCGGCAATGTGAGCAAAGCAAGTCAGCAATCATATAATGATTTCCAGGCTGAGAAGAGTGTAGATAGACCTACAATATTCTTATATACGACCCTTGACCACTTATCCACTTATCAAACAAACCATATACTAAAAGCTCGAATATAGATCATGAAAATGTTGCGATAATTCTGAACTTTGCAGTTCACAGAACACTATTAGTAGAAAGTAAGTAGTATTGTTCTGTGAGTTTAGTGAAACGGAAGCATGATTAGCATATCAAAATACCGTATTAGCCGACCATTGTATCTGGGAGAAGGACGGCGACGAGGTCTCATGTGGTCATCCATGATCGTAGTGGATGTAAATCGCGTGGTGGTCGGTAATGAACTGGGGTGATATGGATGCAACCGATGGCCGTTTTGAGCACAATACTTGATACAATAGCCTTGATCTTTGCGACCCCTCTCCAAAGCTGCCTTTCTATCCTGAAATCTCCAGAAAAAATCAAAATCAAAATCCGAGACAGATGGTAGCCGGTGAGGGGAACTGACCACGTGCTGCTCAAGTAAGCCTCTGCTTTTCATGTTCCGAGAGGTCGAATTTCACGCTGGTTCTAGTTATACTTGCCAGCCTAAAACTATTTGGTCACATATGGACATGAAGTCAAACTGATTGTCCGGGAGCTAAGTAGTTCAACACTTTTTCACTGCTAAATAGTTGAATAGCTAAGGGATA